CAATGAATAAGGAAGACTGTAGAATTGATGTCTGTACGTTATGGTGTTAGAGAAGAATATTAAAAGTACCATGGACTGCCAGAACAACAAACCAAACTGTGTTGGAAGAAGAACAACCAGAATAATGCTCCTTAGAAATTAGGATGGTGAGACTTTATCTCTCCTATTTCTGACCTATTATCAGGAGGGACTAGTCCATGGGGAATGACATGGTACTCGGTAAAGTGAAGGGTTAGTGAAAAAGAGGAAGATCCTTTAATGAGATGGATTGGCATAGTGGCAGCAGCAATGGGCTCAAGCTTAACGATTGTGAGGTTGGCACAGGACTGGGCAGTGTTTTCTTTCTGTTGCATATAAGGTTGCTATGAGAACAGACTCGATGGCACCTAACAGGGGAACAAACAAGGAACTTTAATCTGATTAATTAAGTTAAAGCAAGATCCCAAATTAGATAACTTTTAGTAGGCCCTGATAAAGCCTCAGCCTTCCAATTTTACCGGTGTTTCTCCAAACAAAAGACATCAACATTTACTAAAATAGCTCAGTCTTCAATGTAATCTTTAGTCCTTGGGCTTAAGGGAATTGTTTAGTCATAAAACAAATTTTTATTACTATTAAATACAGTAAAGCCAAGAAATATATATTCATTTATTTCCTTCTTTTAAGGCATAAAAAATCAGAGCGCTGGAACTTCAAGATGACCACTATGATTCATACTTCTGTGGAAAAAGCTCAATAAGAAATTACGAAAGAGAAAGAGATTAAAGTGCTTCTAATGATTTCTGGAGTCCTGGTGTGGTGCCATAGGGTAAACAATGGACTGCTAACCACATTGTGGTTCAAACCCACCAGTTGCTCCTCAGAAACCCTACACAAGTCACTATGAGTCCAAAGCACATAACAACAACAATGATTTCTAAACCAAATATACTGCAGAGCTGTATTTATGACTTGACATAACTAAGTAATTGTTTTTGGTAGAATAATGTTCCTCAAACTTTTTTTTACAAAGTACCCATAAAAGCAGAGGAAAGAAAAGGGATTTGGGAGGTGGTCTAGTTATAACATTTAAATAAATTTTTGTGTTTCAACTTAAAAATTCAAAGATACCTGAATTCCCTGAATTAAGAAAAATGTTAACCTCTTTCCTACCTCTTCCCCACTCCCCCCAAAAACCCAAACAAACAAACAGTAAAATGGACACTTCAGGAAGCCATGCAAAATGTTAATTCTGTGTTTTTTATACAATCCCAGCAGCATGTGACATACTTATGGGGACATTTATACCCTTGACTGAAAAGCATCATTGCCAGGGCAATGCAAGCCTGCAAGTGACTATAAAGCCTTCTGGCGGTTAACAGTGGGTTCCACGTGAGGTTTCTCAGAGACCCAATAGTTCATCTTGGCCCCAATACTGCAAAATAAACTCCTTGAGAAGAGAGGCCATGGAATACATATCTCTGCATCCTTCACAGCCCCTCACAGAGTACCTATTTATACACGGTAGTGTTGAAGGAAGGAAGCAATGACTAATAACCCCAAACAAAACCCACTGAGCTTGAGAGGATTCCAACTCACAGAGACCCTATAGGACAGAGCAGAGCTGCTCTGTATGGAAGCAGACTGCTACATCTTTGTCTCCGGGAGCACTCGATGACCTTAGCTTAGCCAAATGCTTCATCACTGCACCACCAAGGGTTCCTTAAATGACTAATGTGGTTGTTGTTAAGAGCCATTGAAGAGGTTCTGACCCATAGCGACCCTGTACAGGGTTTCTAAGTGAACTAAATTCAAAGGTCAACCTAATTAAGAATTTTATTTCACTAACCATAGCAAAAAATTTTAAATAAAAGGAGGATTTTAAAATATAACAGATTCTCTAACAGCTCAACAGAAGTGAGGTAACATTTACGACTTTCCTATAGTCTTTATAGCGGCGGTATCTATTCCAGTAAAATTGGTTAAAATAGTGCATATATTATAGTTACAAAAAACAAAACAAAACTAATTTATGTAGCATTGTCTTCAGTTCATGAATGAAGTCAAGACAGTGCTCATTACATGCTCACTTTTTCATAGTAATATATTTTTGTGTTATATTTTATAAACTTTAGGTAATATAGCATGTGGAAAACAGTATTTATAATTCAATACCTGAGTTCTTTAAAAAGTTCAACATTCTGGTGAGTCATCAAGTTGTTTAGAAGCCATTCAAGGCACCTGAAATTAAAACATGTAATTATTACATTGTTGTTGTTGTTGTTAAGTGCCATTGAGTCAGTTCTGACGCATAGTGACTCAGTACAGAAAGGTTTCCAAGGAGCAGCTGGTGGGTCTGAACCACCAACCTATGGTTAACAGTCCAGTGCTGATCCAACTCCACACCAGAACTCCCATCATTACATTTTAGATCCTATATTTACTATTGAATAGGACTTACAGTTAAAATAAAAAACAGAATTATTAATCTTACTAGGACATGATTAAAATTCTTAGCTTAACAACTGGAAATGCAGTATTGTTTTTGTCAGCAATTATTAAGGGACTATTTCATTCATATTAATAAGAGTATTTCTAAATAACAAAATCTTATTTCGCATTTGTTTTAAAAGATTATGAAGGGGCTTCTATTAACTCCTTTAAAATCTGAAAATGGGTACTGTAAATCCCCAGAGTTAAAGAAGGAAGACTGCACTGATAAAATGCATATTATGCCTAATTTCTCAAAAATTTTAATTGAAAATGTACCAGAGAGTACCAGTTTTTAAGTGTATATAATGCACACATGGTCATTATATCAAAGACAATACATATGAGAAAGTTACTAATTAATTCAGAGTAAACAGAGGGTTTTTATAGTCTCTTGTCTTTTTAAAAACTTGCTTTCCTGTAACTATACATTCTCTTAAGAAACCAAAGAGCCAAAGTGTTAAAAGTAGGATGTGAGGGAAAACAAGAAAAACAACTCACTTTTTCTTTACAGTATCTAATCCATAGGTCCCTGCTGATGTGTAATAGCCACACACAGTTTTCACATTAATTGTTTCCTTCATTGTCTCACCACACTGCTGTATTAAACCATCCTGTAAATATAAATAAGCACTAGAAAGGCCCATTTCACATGGGAAAAATTAGCTCTGAGTATGTGCTTTTATAGATTTAAAAAGTGGGAAAAAAAGAAAAAAAAAGGAAGAAAGAAAGAAAAGAAAACTCATTAAGTGATAGCAAGCCTAAGTTGTAAAAAATATAAGTCCAATAAAAATATTGAAAAAAAAATCCAGCAAGTATTCAACTAAATAGTTGGAACAGGAAGATGGGATGGGATGGGGTGGGGAGGGTTGGCAGTAGAGATGAACACTGCTGCTCTGACTCCTCCCCAGTCTTGCCCTCTCTGGGACCTTGGTACATTACTTCAGCAGCACTGTCCTGCCTGTTCTGTTTTAAATCAAGAACTCTTTACCGTAGTCATGTGATGGGCTAGGCAAGTATACTATATGAATCATCAGGAAGTACTGACCAAAATTTAAAACACCTATAAATACCTAAGAAGCAAATATTATTTTAAACAACCTACATTAAAATTTTCATCTTAAAAGTTTATATAAAAGGTTTCAAACGACATATATGGAAAGAAGACTGTCACTTTTCATTCAAATTTCTGAAACATATTCATCATGCAGGTATATTATTACATTAAAATAGTTAAGGCATATGAATAACACAAAAAGTGGATTTAAAACAAAGCCAAAAGGATCAAAGTTAGACAACAGAGCATACTTACTGGAAATAAATATTGAAGGGATCAAAACATTATCAAAATTAAGTGACCTTAGTTAAGTATATATGGAAGCTATAAACTAACACTTCAAATAAATGAATTAACAAATACCACATAAAAAGAAACAATATTTTTATAGACAATTGAAAGAGATCTTGACCCCACTAGTATTTAAAATTGATCTGGGAGTCACTCTAAACCCTTCTCTTTTCCTTTGTCATCAAGTTTGAGGGATTATCTGTTTACTATCTGTGTCTCCAAGCTTAGTGTTACTCCCTAATTTAAATCCATACTCGAACTACTGGGCAATAGGTTTCTGTCTCTAGTGTTATACTCATCTTTCCTTCAATCTATCCTTTACTGATTAAATTCTTCCCAAGGTACTTATGAGACTAAAGTACTTAGCAAGATCCTGAGGAATTTTCAAGATCTGGCCTTGGCTTGCCTCTCTCCAATCCTCCCTATGTTCTATGCTACTGCCATTTTCTGCTTAGATTCTCTATCATCCATTGTTTCGCATCTCTAGGTCTTGGTTTACTGTTTCCTCTGTATGAAATGCTCTTCCTTCATTTTTCCTATTTTGCATAAGTACATTTTCAACTTTCAAGACTCAACCTCAAACATCACTTTATGACACTCTACCAACCTGAGCTAACCGCTTCCTTCTTTGTACATCTGCTATATTCTACAGGATGTTTATTATTGTACCTACAATAATGGGAAGCTTGTATTTTACTTTTTTTTTTTTCTTGTTTGTTTTTCATTCAGTCATTTTAATATAACATTGAAACACATGGTAACAATACTTGAAATTCCACAAAGAACTGCATGCTTTTACTATTAAAAGACATATGCTGAAGCTCATAGTTCTGTCAGAACACAACCTTCTAGAAGCTTGTTCTTTACTTTTGGGACAATATAGCGTGTATGTTGTTGTTGTTGTTAAGTGTCATCAAGTCAGTTCTGATGCATAGAGACCCTGTATAGGGTGTCTGAGGAGTGCTGGTGAGCTTTAACAGCCCATCTTGCAATTCAAATGACCCTGTAATCTACTGCATTAACCCGCAGCACACACTGTATTATAAGGTTCTTTGCAAGTGTAGTTACTTAGACATGTAAAGTCTAAGTACCTCTATACAGAAATAGCTTGCACTTATGCTAAACAGACATCATGACCCCTCAGTTATAATAAATTACTTTAAAATGATTTCTAATAGCATATTTATACATTTAATTTTTATTTTAAACATTATGAAGGCTTTATTTTTGTTTTTAGAATTGACACTTTGAACCTGCCTTTGAGTAATGTACACACTTACCAACTGTAGCATAGACGCTGCTGCCAAGATGGCAATAACGCGACTGGGCTTTATTAAGACATCATCTCGATATAGTGAACCAAATGCAACCTGCAGTGCTGAGAGCAATAACAGAACAAAAAGTAACAATAATTACTATCCTCATGCAGAAAGACATTTGTCTAAATTTGGAATGTACATAAAAGGATAAGAGAAGTACCACTACTAACAATGCTATTAACGGTTACTGACTGAAGGTGCTGATTTAATAAGGTTATACATTTCTGCTTATTTTATCAAGTCTAGATGGATTCTTTCAGCACCTAGTGTTAGTATCCGTTAGTGGTCAACTAGTGGGAAAAGGTTTATAATGACACCCTTGGTAGATTAATCATTGAGCACCAAGATCCAGTGATAATCTTAGCCCTGCTACTTAACCACTGGAGAGTATGACAGAGCTCCAGATCTTGTCCATGCCACCCCTCCCCCCACCCATATGGTGGGCCATGAATGGCTTATGACTCTGAGACATCTTATCTGACAGAACAGAACTACCCCATAGGCTTCCCAGGCAGTAGTCTTTACAGCAGCAGATCATCAGGCCCTTCCTCCAATGGAACTGCTGGGGGGTTCATACTACTGACCTTTCAGTTATTAGGCAAGCTTCTGAACTCTGTAACATAGCAGTCCAGACTATCCCAAATAAAGATCACAGTAGACAAATGAGATATTTACCATGCCACAGGAAGGAGTCCTGGTGTGGCACTGTGGGTTACTGCGTGTTTAAACTGCAAGGTCGGCAGTTCAAGCTCACCAGCCACTCACTGGAAACCCTATACAGGGTCGCTATGAGGTAGAATCAACTCGACGGCGCTTAATGGCAGCCAAACCAGTGCATCAGATCCAGACTCTTGGTGGAGCCTGATCTGATCCTCATGACCTCCCTGACTTTCAGGCTCTCTTTCATCTCCCTCTTAGCTAACTGCGGTGGTTGTTGTTGTTATGTGCCATCAAGTCGTTTCCGACCCATAGCGACCCTGTATAGGGTTTCTGAGGGTGTAAATCTTTACGGAAGTAGAAAGCCTCATCTTTCTCCTGAGGTGCAGCTGGTAGTTTCGAACCGCTGACCTTAAGGTTCGCAGCCCGATTCGTAACCACTACGCTACCAGAGCTCCTTAACTGCGGTGGTAGTCAATTTTATTTTCCTGTCCCAAGCTTGTCCCCTAGTCATCTAAGCTTGTTCTTCCCTCTTCTCTGCTGCCACTTTCATATGTGTTCCACATCATCTGCTTTGTAAACATTCCTAAATGTGGAGGGTACAATGAGGGGAACAAAATGAGCCCTCAAATAGGAGGAAAGAGAGCTATGGCCTAGTTAAGGTTCACTAAACTGCTCTGAGATCCGTCACAATCCCCTAAGTCCTCTGGAGTTCAGCTTCTTTACCTAAGCACCCTTGTGCTTAGCTTTAAAACAATGCGTTTATAGAATTCATACCTTTACTGTTGCCAAGAAAAGCTATTCATACGTAGGGAACAGTCAATGAATATTACTTACCAGCTTTTCTATATTTAAAAAAAGAAAAATTGGTCACAATTTTCTTCTTTTAGTCTATGTTCTTCATATCCCAGGTAGATATATGAGAGGGTTCCAAAAAGCACATGGAAAAACAAAATGATAAGATAATGGAATTTTTCCATGAACTGTCTGAAATCCCCTCTTGCTTACAAAGGAGCTCTGGCAGCGTAGTGGTTACGAATTGGGCTTTGAACCACAAGATCAGAAGTTCAAAACTACTAGCTGTTCCGCAGAAGAAAGATGAGGCTTTCTGCTCCCATAAAGATTTACAGCCTCGGAAACCCTGTACCGGTTCGCTATGAGTCGGAACCGACTCCACGGCACTTTAACAACAACATGCTTACAAAGATGAGTAAACAAACTGACTAAGGCCTACATCACTAGATATGGTTGAACAGAACTACAGAATAAATCAATATCAAGTTATCTCCTTGGTATATTTAAATGCAACTTTTCTTAGCTTACCAAGTAAGAAGAAAGTAATTTTAAACTTTTTACCAAAAGAATAAAAATGCCACATTTTTATGATTTTTGCATAATTATAATTATGGTGATAATTACCTTCTATATCAATATTTTGGTCAGGAATCTCCAGTTCAATAATATTCATGCTGGATTCTTTCCAAGAACCACTGAACATACTAGAAAAATAGCCAGACTTTAAAAAAAAAAAAAAAAAAGGCAACAAAAAACAAAGGTCAATGATTACCCAGTACTGTCTTCCAAATTATTTTCCCATTTCTAACTTTGAACAACTATCAAAACTTATCCATTATATTATTTCAAAGATTTCAAAGAACTGCCAAATATATATAACGAAGAAATTAAGACAAGAACACTATCAATTATAACAAAATACTTTTAGTACTGATTTAAAAAAAATACCATTTGCCACTGAGTCAATTCCAACTCACAGAGACACTATAGGACAGACAACTGTTTCAGTGTTTCCAAAAGTTGTAATCTTTACATAAGCAGACAGTCACACCTTTCTCCCACGGAGCAGCTGGTGGATTTAAACCACCAACCCTTAGGTTAGCAGCCAAGTGCTTAACCACTGTGCCACCAAAGCTCCTCAATTTAACAAATACTAAATTAAATTCTTGTATTACTATCTGAACTGAATTCCTACATTACATTTGAACCTTGTTAGCTTTTTAATGTGCTGAAACACAGATGGCAATTAAGCTTAGGTATCACTTGCTTTAACAAGGTAATTTCTGAGTATACTGTATTTGTATGAGATGAGATTCTCAATGAGATTCTAACTCAAGCTGAGAATTTAAGTCATGTATTTGTGTAGCTTTCATAAACATATGATAACACATATGTGGATAAATAATAATGCACAAAGGAGGAGAGGAGACTGAAAATTCTCAAACAATTGAACTCTTACTGTAAGCCACAGTTACTATAAAGGGTCCAAACTAATTCTAAGTCAGCCCTAATAAATCCTAAGTCAGTCCTATTAGTATAAACCCCAAAGAAATTTGGGAAAATCCAAAATTTAGTGTTATCTAAACAGAAAAGTCCAGAATGGACCTGATTTCCTGGAAAGGCACTAGAATAAAGTCTTTTGTTACCTTCTAGATAGCATTGGTCATGAAGAAAATGACCTTGTTGTTGTTGTTAGGTGCCATCGAGTTGGTACCAACTTATAGCAACCCTATGCACAACAGAACGAAACGTTGCCCAGTCCTGGGCTAATCTCATATTTGTTGCCACTCTTGAGCCCAATGATGCTGTCACTTTGCCAATCCATCTTGCTGGGGGTCTTCCTCTTTTTCTCTGATCCTCCACCTTACCAAACATGATATCCTTCTCCAGGGACTAGTCCTTCCTGACAACATGTCCAAAGTATGAGAGACGAAGTTTGGCCATCCTGGCTTCCAATGAGTACTCTGGCTGCACTTCTTCCAACACAGATCTGTTGGTTCTTTTGGCAGCCAATGGCACTTTCAATATTCTCCTCCAACACCATAACTCAAAAAGCATCAATTTTTCTACGGTCTTCCTTATTCACTTACCCGCTTTCACATGTATATGAGGTTATTGAAAATACCATAGCTTGGGTCAGATGTACCTTAGTTCTCAAGCTGACACCTTTGCTCTTCAACACATTACAGGTCTTATGCAGCAGATTTGCCTAATGCAATACATCATTTGATTTCTTGACTGCTGCTTCCATGAGTGTTGATAGTTGATTCAAGAAGAATGAAGTCCTTGACAACTTCAATCTTTTCTCTGTTGATAAGAAGGTTATTGGTGTAGTGGTGAAGATTTTTGTTTTCTTTACATTGAAATGTAAGCTATACTGAAGACTGTGCTCTTTGATCTTCATCAGTAAGTATTTTAAGTCCTCTTCATTTTCAGCAAGCAAGGTTCTATCATCTGCATATCACAGGTTATTAATGAGTCTTCCGCCAATCCTGATGTCACATTTTTCTTCACAGAACCCAGCTTCTCGGATTATTTGCTCAGCATACAGGCTGAATAAGTATGGTGAAAGAATACAACCTTGTCGCACACCTTTCTTCATTTTAAACCATTCAGTGTTCTCATGTTCTGTGCGAACAACTGCCTCTTGGTCCATGTACAGACACCTCATAAGCACAATTAAGTGTTCCAGAATACTCATACTTCACAATGTTGCCCAAAGCATGTCATGATCCACACAATCAAAAGCCTTTGTGTAGTCAATAAAGCACAGGTAAACATCTTTCTGGTATTCTCTGCTTTCAGCCAGGATCCATCGGACATCAGCAATGATATCCCTCGTTCCACATCCTCTTCTGAATCTGGCTTGAACCTCTGGAAGCTGTCAATGTATGATTGTAGCCATTTCTGTATTACCTTTAGCAAAACTTTACTCACATAGGATATGACCTTTGTTGTTGTTGTTGTTGTTAAGTGCCATCGAGTCGATTCTGACCCATAGCAACCCTGTATAGGGTTTTCAAGGAGCAGCTGGTGAGCTTGAGCCACTGACGCAGTTCAAACGACTTTGTAGTCTGAATGGGTCAAATATTACCTTAGAATGCTCTTAGAATGGGTCAAATATTAACCTGTGTATTTTTAATATTTTATTAAGTGCTTAGTATGTATAGAGCACTGAGCAACATAGACATTGTTTCTGTCCTCAGGAGGTTTAGATTTTAGCATGACTTTAACTGATCAGTTTTTCTTTAGAGGGAAAGTCAAGACAGAATCATTCTCACTCTTTAGTTCACAAAACTGCTGACAGGCAAATAAATCAGTCTCTCAAGTTGAGATCAGATTTTGATATATTCTCTTCAAGGAGTCCTGATGTGGCACAGTGAATTATACACTGAGTTGTTAACCAAAGAGTTGGGTGCTCAAACCCACCAGTTGCTCCTTGGAAACCCAACAGAGGGTCACAATGAATTGCGATGGACTTGAAGGCACCTAACGATATATTCAAGCCAAAATAAACTTGTTAAAAAAAAAATGAAATAAAAAATATCATGATTAAGATGTTAGAAGAAAAATTATTTTAAAACGTTTCAAATGAAAAATTATACACTATACTGTCTTAGGGGTCCTGGTGTGGCACTTTAGGATAAGTACTGGATCTCAAAGTCAGTTTGAACCACAAGGTAGGTGGTTCAAACTCACCAGCGGCTTCTCGGAAACACTATATGGGATGGTTATGAGTTGGAACCAGCTTGACAGCACTTAACAACAACATACTATCTTAGGGGTCCTGCCATGGCAGCACTTTAGGATAAGCACTGGACTGCTAACTGCAAGGCTGACAGTTCAAACCCACCATCATCTCCTTGGAAATCCTATACAGGGTTGCTATGAGTCGCAAATGACTCAATGGCACTTAATGACAACATATTGTCTTAACAGTAATTATTCTTTTTTTTTACCATTGGTTCTTTTTTTTTTTTTTTTTTTTTTAATTTAAGGTTTTTATTGCGGATGGAGTGAAAGTTTATTACAGGGCATATCATCAGTTTTATATTTAACAAATCATATACCTTGTTTCATTACATTGATTATAATCCCCTCCATGTACCACCAGTTAACAGTATTTCTCTCTATCCACTTTAGTTTTTTAAAAAAACAAACAAACAAACAAACAAAAAAAACCACACAGGCATATATAATAATTTACATCTCCAAAGGGCACATTCTGCAAGTCTGCTCCTGGCCTCAGCCGCTCCCCCTCTCCATGCCCCCATCTCTGCCTCCATCTCTGGCACTGCTGCTTCTCTGGAATAAGGTCCCGCATTCTGCTTGTGCGCTTCTCTCTTGATGGTGCTAGGGTCCTCTGTTTCTGGACTGTAACAGTAATTATTCTTGAATGGTGAAAAAGTCTAAGCTCCAAAGAATAAGGACTGTTCTGTTCACTGCTCTATCCCCAGTGCTTAGAACAATGTCTACCCACTGTCCTGAGGTGGTGATGCTGTATAGTGATGCTGTATAGAGTTTCGAAGGCTCTAAATTTTTATGGAAGCAGAAAGCCTCATCTTCCTCCCATGGAGCAGCTGGTGGGTTTGAACTGCTTATCTTGTCATTAGTAGTCTGGTGTTTATTCTACAGCACCACCACTGTCTATCATATAATAAATCTGATGAAAGAATGAATGAATGAAATGTTTGAGCCATTAGAGGTAATATTTTCTTCTGTTTTGAAAATTTTCAATTTCTTTATGATGCAGTGGGAGACAGTAATGTTTTTAGCACAGAAATCAATAGGTATACTAGTCAAATGACTTAGTCTGTATACTTGTTGGTCTTATCTTTAACTAGATTTTTAAGGGAAAGAGTGTCAAGAACTTAAACAGTTCAACCTTAACTACAAAGCAGTATTTCAAAATGAATTAATCTAATTGAAATAATTGTATATAAAATAAATTCAGCAATCTTTAATGCTAAACATTTTTTTCCCTAATGTTTCCCTTTTATCAACAGATGTTACCAAAATAAACTACCAAGTAAGGAAATTACAAAAAGGTTATGCTAGGCTGGGATAACAATGAAAATTCAAAATCTGTTTTCTAAACCAAATGAAAAACGTTCACTAATAGTGTTCATCATTTCTAATAAAACACACTTTTTATCAGATGAGAGGACTTACACAGCTATTGTGTATGCAAAAGATCGTGCAATTCATTGAGAACATGACTTAAAGAGTTTAAGAATTTTATAAAAGTGGCTAATTCTGGTTACTCAAGTGGAAGAAATAAAATACTTACTTGACATAAATAGATTTTGTGCAAGCTCCACTCTTCTCCCAGAGCACAAATCTTGATATCACTATTTTCACCATTCAAAAACAACGTCTGATAAATATATTTGGATGTACTCTTTAATTTTTTCCTGTAAAAGAAATACAAGTTTGTATGTTTTACTGATTTTGCATATAACTTAAAATACACCACTTTGTTCAATTTCTGTTAGAGTCAACATGCCCATTGTGTAAAAGAATATGGGGATAGCATATATTCATAATTGCTTGTATATGGAGCACAGGAAGACCTATTAAGCGTGGTCACCGCTGGGTTCTGTGTTCACCAAACCTCACTGCCATGGAGTTGGTTCCAACTCATAGAGACCGCCCGGGACAGAGCAGCACTGCTCCAGTTTCCAAGGCTGCCAATCTTTAGGGCAGCTGTCTCATCCTTCTCCCTTGGAGCAGATGGTACTGGGAACTGCTGACCCTGCAGTCAGCAGCCCAGTGCTCAACCCACAGTGTCCCCCAGGCCTCCTCTCTGTTCACAGAAGGGGTAGTTGTTATGAACGGTCAAGTCTGCTACGATTTATAGCAACCCTGTATACGGTTTCCAAGAGCGGCTGGTGGGTTTGAACTGCTTATCATAGGCCCATACCAGGGCTCACAGTAGGGGCAATAGGGAATAAGTGGGGCACAGCATGTACTTTTTACTATATACTGTTTTGAAATCTCTGATTCTTAAACTTAGTGAATCACCTATCCAAACATTAAAGTCAGTGTGGTTGCTTTTGATTATTTCTTCATTCTGATAGCAGTACTACCGAGGGTCTCACTACAACTATTTGTAACTAAAATATGAGAGAGAAATTTTCACCTACACAAGTAATTTTTCAAATAATTTACATTCTATCTTTTTTGGTAGAAAATTTTTCTTAAGCTGGTTAAAATGTTTTCTCATTGGAAAAACGGTGGTTGTTGTTGTTTGGTGCCATCAAGTCGGTACCGACTCATAGCAACCTTATGCACAGCAGACTGAAACACTGCCCGGTCCTAGGCCAACCTCACTATCGTTGCCATGCTTGAACCCACTGGTGCTGCCACTTTGTCAATCCATCTCGCTAACGGTCTTCCTCTTTTTCTCTGACACTCCACCCTACAAAACATGATATCCTTCTCCAGCGACTGGTCCCTCTTGACAATATGTCTGAAGTATGAGACACAAAGTTTGGCCATCCTGGTCTCCAAGGAGCACTCTGGCTGCACCTCTTCCAACACAGATCTGTTGGTTCTTTTGGCAGTACACAGCACTTTCAATATTCTCCTCTAACACCATAACTCAAAAGCATAAATTCTTAATGGTATGCAGTATTAAATCTAAGGTTTCAAATTATATTCCAGAGGAAAGTGGCTCAGGGGCCAAAGGAGCTGAGTGATGGAAATCTGGGCATCCCATCCAACTTCAACCAGAGCAATGCCACATAACAGACTTCTGCATAAGAGTTAAAGGAAGAGGTGTCTACTTCTTGCTTACTAGGACCAATCAGCATAATGTTGCTATGAAACAAACAGGCGATCATGGTCCCTGCTAACTAAACAATGATACAGGACTGAAAAGTTCATATATTCCTGACATAGGACAGTAAACATATATTGCTATCCTTGTCAGCTGATAGCGAATTGCTTCTGGTAGTGTTTCCTAGCAAATATCGATTTAAAAAGCATTTGCCTGATCAATAGCTGCATACTAGGTGCCAGAGCATATGTCAATTTGCAAAAACAATGAAACCACCATCTGGGACAGAAGCTGCAGTTGGAGTCACCAACTACTTAAGATTACAATGATTCACTGTCATTCTTCAAGATCCATCTGTTTTTTGCACAAGCTAAATAGGTAAGATGAATGAGGAGGTAGCGGGAATTACTACCCTTGCATCCTTCAAGTTCTTGATGGTAACACTAATTTCTGCAATCACTCTAGAAACATGGTATTGCTTACAGCTGACTATTTTCCTAAGCTGAAGCAGTTTTTGTGGCTTCTGGTTAACCTTTACTAACCTAATAGTTCTCATTCCACATGTCAGGAAATCAGTGGGGGGATTTGGGCAGTTGTCAAATGGATGGGACTGGGGCCCATGTACACCCACTGTGAGATGGACTTGAGCTAAAACTTCATTGATCACCTGACCTCCAAAAATCCCACCTTTGGTAGACTATTTCTCCTGGAATTAGTGCCAATTCAGAGCTAATATCCAGTAATTCTTGAAAAGTCTGATTATTTCCTTTTCCACAATGCAAATCCTGTAAAAGGAATTAGGTCCCTTTGGGTAAGACTGGGAGAATAAATTTTGGGCAGCTTAACATGGTCCATCCAAAAGAAGGTCTGGCTTTCCCTTCATTCAAGAGGTTCTGAGTCGACATACTGGTTTTCAAGTCTGACGACTGAAGGGTCAGTGACTCTGTTTTGGTGATTAGACTTCTAACTTCTGCTCACCTGACTTTCAACAATTCTGCTTTTATAGATCAAGCAGGTTTCAGTACATATTCCATCTATTTTACTCCTAGTGTACTAGGATCAACTAGGTCTCTGAGAATCAGACTATTTTGATCATTGTTTTTACCTGGCTGTCCATTACAGTAATCATACCCAACTTGTCTTTGGTGATTAGTGCCACCATTTGGTTTCTGCCACCCATGGTCCAATTACCCCCATTGTATTAAGGATCCCAGTTCAATGACAGCAGTTCCCACTGTACTCTCACCTGTGAAAAGTGACCATAGAGATCTTTTAGGATGCTGAGGTTTTCCTCACAAATATCAGTATTGCTCATATGTCCTGATGAGAGGTGTGTCCTCTAGACCCTCTTAGGGTGGGTGAACAGGTCTTTCATGACAAATACAACACTCTAACATTCCAGTCTTCCTAAGACTTTGGATACCTTCCTCTGCAGTGTACCAAGACACAGCTTTGGCATTTCAACTTCATATGCTGCAACCCATCTTTTGGTCCATGTTTCAGCCAACCAACCAAATCAATTAAGAGTTCTTATAATACTCTGAGCTCCAACCCGGAATCCAGAATCCTTGCTTTGCTGTTATTGTTAGTTGCTGTCGAGTCAGTTCTAACTCAGGGTGACCACATGTGTGTAGAGTACACCTATTCCATAGGGTTTTCAAGACTATGATCTTTCAGAATCACATTCCCAAGCCTGTCTTCTGAAGTATCTCTGGGTGGGTCCAAACTGCCAACCTTCTGATTAGTAGTTGAGTGCTTAACCATTTGCGCTACCCAGTAGTCTCCTATTAATAAATGTAGCCTGATATGTTCTTGCCACCATAACCTCAAACCCTTAATATCCATTTCCATCCATAGTCTCCAGGCTTCTGTTGGTATAAATTAGAATTAGCATGCCATCACTTTGGAGGTGCAACACACCTCCTCATGGGTCATCTGGACCTCACCTTTCTGGGCCTGATTCTTATAGTCCAGTTATAGGTCTAGAAGCAAAGAGGGGTAGTGGGAATATGTTTTAAGGCAAATCAGCAATGCCTTGCCAGGATACTACCTCAAAGGAGGCCATTACAGGATCTTTAGATAAAGCAGACTTCACTTCCTCACACAGGGCTACTTGTACTGGTGAAGACGACTCAGTAAAATTTACGAGTTTAATGTCCCCAGACTTATCAGAACCTGCCCATATGCTCCCATTTCAGTTTTCAAGAACCCATTCCTCGCCAATTAATACCTCCACTTTAAGAGCGGACACTCTGTGAGACTGAGAATTCAATTTGTGTTGTAATTCAGCCACTCATAAGATGAGTGTGATGGTAAGACTGTGTGTCAACTTGGCTGGGTCATGATTCTCAGTGGTCTGGCCGTGATGATTCCCCCATGATACGACCTGCTATAATGTAATCACCTCCATGATGAGATCCGCTATGAGCAATTAGTTGTAAAGGCATTTCCTTGGGGGTGTGGACTGTATCTAATATACTAAAGTAAAAAAGTACTGCTACAAGATCATTGAAACCTTTATTAAACAATATCAAAATGTAAAGCTATGTTCTCACCATATCCTCTATCTACATCTATACACTTCTGAAGATGGTGTTTCCATTTAACTCTTCCCCAAAGAATTCTGTGCTCTTCGATTTACACCACGTCAAAATGGTAGTTTGGGTATCCTTAACGGACTCCGACTGTGTTCCTTTTCAGTGCTCTTTGACTTTTGAGAACAAAAAGAAGTCAGAAGGAGCACAATCAGAGTTGTAGGGGGGTAGATGGGGTAAGTTTTCCTAAAAAAAATCTCATAGGACAGCCCTTGCTACCCTCAAAGCATGAGCAGGTGCATTGTAATGATGAAAAAAAATTCCTCAAGGCAACTGTCCTGGCCTTTTTCTCACAAATGCAGTTTTCAATTTTCTCAAAATTTCTTTATAATAAACCCCTGTGATTGTCCAGTATCCTTAGAGAAAGTCTATCAAGATGACCCCCTCTTTGGTATCCCCCAAAATGGCCACCAGAACCTCCTGAGCTGGCCTCTGTGCCTGGAATTTGTGGTGTTATAGGATAAGCGCTGGGAGCACAGTAGTTCCATACGGTAAGCACTGGCCTGTGAATCACAAGGTTCTAAGTTCAACCCCACCATCTGCTCCACGGGAGAAAGATGAGGCTTTCTGCTCTCACAAAGATTTAAATGCATTGGACACCCTACATAGGGTCGCTAAGAGTTGAACCAACTTGATGACACTTAACAAAACAGGGCAAGCACTGGATTGCTAATCACAAGGTAGGCAGTTAAAACCTACCAGTTGTGACTTGGAAACTTTATACAAGGTCGCTAAGTCGGAATCAACTCAACACCACTTAAAAAAAACAATTACCACCACCAGAGCCCCTCAAGGAGCCCCGGTAATGGTAACACAGTGTTTACACATTGGACTGCTATCTCCAAGGCCAGCAGTTCAAATCTACCAATGACTCCTTGGGAGAAAAATAATGGGGGGCTATATATGCACGAATGGTCTGGCTTACAATTTTTCATAAGTATGCTTAAAGAATGGGGAGTGGGTTAAGGTTGACTCCTCACTGAATAGTTTTCCTCTCTTCAGAAGCATCTGGTGAAAGGGGATGGGGGATGATGCTGACAAGATTTTATTATTCAAATTTAAGTAACTGCAGGATTAATTGCGATTGTCACAACTGTAATAATAGAAGATGTGTAACAAAAAGGGGGAGGGGAGAGTTAGTCCATCAAGAAGCAAGGGCATGAGTAGAGTGTGAGATCCCTCCCTAGAAAAGCACTAATGGCAGAGGCGGTGGCAGAGGCGGTGGCATGGAGAAACAGAGCAGCTACGGGCTGTGTGCATGCAGGCAGACAGCTGGCTTGCAGAATATGCCCTTAGGACATTTAAATTAAAATTTATTTTTTGGTTTGTATAAGTACATCAAATATTTTTGCTTTGTTCATTTGTGAAATATAAGATGGAAATGGGAAGGTACAGGGAGGAAGTAGGATAACTGTTGGGGGGGAATTACAATCATTGAGATGAAACAAAGCATATAATTTGTTGAATGTAAAGCTGAAGATCTTATCTATTAATCTTCACGCAATTTACAATAAAAAGTTTTTTTTTTTTAAAGTGTTGCCTTGGAAACCCTACAAAGAGTTGCTATGAGTCGGAACACTACCACGACTACCAAATCCCCTCAGAAGTCAGTTTTGATTTGACCTTTTTTTGAAGACACCCTAATAAGACTAAAACCATTGTATTACTCAGAGTTTGTCTGCAGTCATCCAATGATCACAAAGACATGTTTAAACATATTTTGTTTGGAATATACATGTGCACATATGAATTAGAATCCTAGTGGTTGCTGTCTTTAAATGCCATTGAGTTGATTCTGACTCACAGCAATCCCATATAGGATTTCCAAGGAGCAGCTGTTTTCATCATTCTGCCAAACTCCCTCTTTTTGTATTTTGCCCTTCCCATCAACCCTCTAACCAGTGAATTAGTCTCTCTTCCCTGGTTACCCTGGTATCCATTAAGCAATGTTTCTTTTAGAATGAAAACCTTTTCTTATGTTTTGCAGTAATGGTCTCATAAAATATTTGTCCTTTTGTTATTAACTACTTTCACTCAGTGTAATGTCCTCCAGGTTCATCCATGTTATGAGGTGTTTTGCAGATTCACTGCTATTCTTCACCATTGCATAGTGTTCCACTGTGGGTGTGTACCAAAGTTTGTGTATCAATTCTTCCACTGATGGGCATTTAGACTGTTTCCATATTTTTTAGCAATACTTTTTGACTTGTCATCCTATATGGATGTTCTAGCTTTTTGCATCATCTGCATCCTGCACCTGGCTCATCATTATCTGCCCTCCAGTTCTTTAGACTTGAGCCAGCAGCCTGCTGTATTATTTGCTAGTCTTGGGATCCAGTATCCTCTCTAGCCTGTGAGCCAGCAGCCTTCTGTCTTACCTGTTGATCTTGGATTCATCAGTCTCCACAGCCAGCAGCCTGCCTGACCTGCAGTTTCATTAGTCAGGAGAAGTCTCCACCTGAGATCTGACCCAAAGACTTGGGACTTGCCAAGACTCAATGACTACATGAGCCATTTTCTTGAGATAAATCTATGCACCTAATCTATATATAAGGTACACTGGTTTTGCTTTTCTAGAGAACCCAGACTAAGACAATGAGACTCTGGGTTTGCTCTTTGGCAATGTCAGTTTTTTGGCTATAGGACACAAGGCTTTCTTTCAGAGTATACATAGAAAGTTTCAGGTCATTTATGCGGGCTTGAGTTAGGTTTTGAAGCCCTGAGCTCATCCTTTTCTTTCCTTTTTTTTTCTTGTCCAATTTGGAGCAACAAGGCAATTTTATTATACTCACTAGTTTGACAAAAATGCCCTAAGGTATAAATTATATGGTTACTATGAACCTTGCCATTTAGAAGTATTTGATTATAGAGTATGCAATCAAGCTTACCAGCTGCTCCTCGGAAATCTTATACAGGGTCGCTATGGTGGAAACCAACTCAATGGCACTTAACAATAACATGGTGATATTTTGCACATCTCTATTGCCACATCACACCATGAACAGTGTCCTCTTTACAAATGGAAAGAGAATCATTAGTACTTTTAAATCTACAGACTGGAGATCTAAGTCCCAAAATCCCAGATTCAATTCTGAAAACTCATCTTTAAGATTCTGTTACTCCAGAATCAGTCTTAATACCAAAAATTTGCATCTTGTCAAGGTTCTCCAGCAAAACTGAATCAACAGGATTGATATAAATGGATGTTGTGGAGAAAGAGAGAGAGAAAGACTGATTTAATTTAAGGACTGTCAAGGCTGAAGCTTGTAGGCAGGCCAGTAGACTATAAACTAAGGCAGGAGTTGATGTTTCAATCAAAAGTGTAAAATCTACAGGGCAAGTGAGTTAGCTGGAACTTCAGGAGTTGATGTTGAAGTCTTGAGTCTGAAATCTATAGGGAGTCCAGCAGGCTGGAAACTCAGGCAGAATTCGATGTTATAGTCTCTTTAGAATTTTTCTTCTCCAGGAGCCCTGGTGGCACAGTGGTCAAAGCACCCAGCTGCGAATTGAAAGGGAGGTGGTTTGAACCCACCACTGTTCCACAGAAGAAAGATACGGCAGTCTGCTTCTGTGAACACTGCAGCCTTGGAAAGTCTATGCGGCGGGCCCCATAGGGTTGCTATGAGTTGGAATCAACTCAATCTCAATAGGCACAAGATAACTACTTTCAATAGAAAGAAACAGGTAGGTAAAAAGTGAAAGGGTAGAAAAAAGATACACCAAACCCTTGTCAAAAGGAAGTAGAACTGCCTATGTTTATTACTAGGGAGGAAAGGGACATTTCATAACGACAAAGGGGTTATAGATTCTTGTTGTTGTTGTTATGTGCCGTGGAATTGGTTCTGACTCATAATGACCCTGTACAGGGTTTCCAAGGCTGTAAATCTTTACAGGAGCAGAAAGCCTCATCTTTCTCTTGCAGAACAGCTGGTAGTTTTGAACTGCTGACCTTGCGGTTTGCAACCCGATTTGTAACTACTACACTACCAGAGATTCTTAGACAAACTCAAATCTACTGCCACTGAATTGATTCTGAATGACGGAGACCACGTGTAGTACAGAACAGACCAGCTCCATACGCTTTTCTTGGCTGTAATCTTTCCAGAAGCAGAATACCAGGCCTAGCTCTACTGGAATCACTACTTGTGTCTGAAATGCCAACATTTAGATTAGTTGTTGTTGTTAAGTGCTGTTGAGTTGGTTCTGACTCATAGCCACCTTGTATAGGGTTTTTGAGGAGCAGCTTGGTGTATTTGAAGTGCCGACCTTGTGGTTCCCAGTCCCATGCTGAACTGACAGTGCCACACCAGGAGTTTGTTGTTGTTGTTAAGTGCCATCAAGTCGGGAGTAGGAGGGCACAAACAAGAAGACATATTATTTACTGAGTGCTTACATGCTAGGCATTGTGTACCATATGCATTCATGCATTTTCATTTCTTTGTCATACCCTGTAAGGGAGGTATTATTGTCTCCATTTATATTTGAGGAAATAGAACCAATAAGCCACTAAGCATAGAATATGGGTGAGAACTCAGAATCTGAGTTCTTAAAAGCATGCTACACTAACTCCATAAGGATCACCGAACAGTATTAACAACAGAGATCTAAATAAACACAAGCATATTCATACATAAAACTGTGTGAAAGGTTTCATAAATCAAACTACTAAAGTGATTTTAAGTGAATTATGGCATTTTTATCTTAAACTTTTTACAAGAAATACGTAATACTTCCAGAGCAAAACATTTTAAAATATTTTAAGTTTCATTTTTAAAATTACATCTACATAATTCTGCAGATGTTAGTTTGAAACAGAGCAACCAGATGGTTTATGTGAAAATACTAGAAGGCTCCCAAAAGTTCGTGGAAAAATTCTATTATCTTCCAATTCCATCTTTCTACCAACTTTTGGAAGCCCTCTCGTACATCTATGTATACACTACGTTCTAGTTCACTAGTCCATTTGTCACCTCTACAAAGACAGGTAAGCAAAGTGCAGCCCAGCCTTGACTTCTGGCCAATGACTTCGAGTATGAGAGACGTTGAAAGAAGGGGACCCAGATGAGGAAGTAATACACATTCTTGGTAAACTTCACCTTTACAGTCAGGAGCACGTCTGTGTGCTGGTATTTGTCCTCCTCTCTGAGTAGGTAACAGGAGAAGTACCCATCTCAAAACCGAAATTTGCATTTCTACACTATTTAAGGCAACCGGATGCCTTAAATAATATAGAAGTTACAATGCTGCCACCCACTCAAAGAAGACAAAACTGGAAGACGGAAGGCCAACCAGTCGAGCGTCTCTAAGGTTTTATGAGACGCAAAGTCTGGCTTGGCGTTTCTCAGTCTCATGTTGGGACTCTTAACACCACCCTGGCAGCGTCTGTGGTTTATAATCCAGAACACCAGGCGTCTCCCAGGGCGCTCCCCGACTCGCCCAGGATCGGACCGGCTTCCCGGTTCATTCCCGGGTGGTCCCCGATTTACCCTGTCAAGGGCACGCTGCACCTCCTGAATGCTCTATCCAGCGCTGGGCTTATCCCCAGGCCGGGTTGCGGGAGCAGGAGGCGGTGCACACAGGCCCAACAGGTGCGGGCCGGGTCACTTTGGACGCATCCCCCCCGTGTACCTTCGTGGGGTGTTGAGGAGTCGCTGCTGCTCGTCCCCTTCCTCCTCCTCGTCGTCCGTCTCAGAGTCGGGGTGACAGTAACAGAAGGCCCCGCTGCTCCGCTTGCGCTTGAGGCTGCCCGGGCAGTAACAGAAGCCATGGCCAGTTGTGTCGCCGCCTGTCCTGGACCCTCGGGACGAGCCCCCCACCCCAGAACCCGGCTCCGGTTGGGTTCGGGTTCGCCCCGGGTGGCGCAGCACTCGGCTGCTCAGAGAGCCCATGGGCGACGGCTCCCCGGGACTTCAGGGAGCGCACCTCAGGCAGCCCAGCGGAGAGGGTCTCCCGACATACTCCCGCCAGCCTCCACCCAGCTCGGGTGCTTACACGGCCACCCTCTCACGCGCAGCCCCAACCGTTGCAGCGGACGATACCGCCTCCATCCTCCGCCCCGCCCGCCGCGTCTAGCCGCGCGGCGCGCCTGGACCGCAGGACCTCGCCCCCTCGCTTTTGCAACAAAGCGTGGACCCGACGGCGCACGCGCGCGGCGAGCCTCCGGAAGAGGCGCATTTGCGTGGCGGGTGGAGCCTGCGCAGTTGGTGCTGAGGGCGGTAGGTGAGAGCCGGTAGTTTTTGCCTGTGGTCGGCTAGTGCCTGGCACTACCCTGAGCTTTGCGGGTAGACCAAGCATCACCCACTCCTAAATTTGGCAAGATCGGAAATTCCGTCTTTCATTCTTTCTGCAAAAGTTCTTTCAGTTCCAAATGTGCTAAACTCACTGACTTGGATGGAGTTGGTTCCGACTCATAGCGACCTTGTGGGACAGAGTAGAACTGATCCTTAGCGTTTCTGAGACAGCAAATCTTTATGGGAGCAAATGGTGGCTGGTGGGTTTGAATCGCCAACCTTGCAGGTAGTAGCCCGACGCGTAACCCAATGCGCCACTAGGGCGTCTTGCCATGTGCTAATTGTTTAGTGTCTTCAGTTGGTTCCGACTAGTGACCCTTTCTTTATAAAGTGTCCGGGACGGCTGGTGGGTTTGAACCGCCGACTTTATGGTTGGCAGTCTAGTGCTTATTTTACAGCGCCACACCAGTTAAGTGCCGTTAAGTCGGTTCCGACTCATAGCGACCCTGTGCCTACACAGGTTTCCTAGGAGCAGTTTGTGAGTTTGAACCATTGACCTTACGATTCAAACCGTCCTTGCAGTCCAGCGCACAAACCCAGTAGAAAGTCTCATCTTTCTCCCATGGAGCAGCTGGTGAGCTGGAACTACAGCTCCCTTGCTCTGTGTTAGATGGTGGCTACAAAGACGTGCTATTTGGGCTTATCTTTGGGTGATTCACCACGTTCAGGAGTCCTGCACTGCGGGGCTGGTACACTGCTTCCTGGGAGAGGAGGATCTAGGGTGGAGGTGGGGGATTGGGAGAGGCTGCACTTCTTAGACATATATGAATGATTCTTTAGAATGAAAGGAACCCATATGAAAGGAACCCATTGGGTTACATACCCCAGTTTACCTCCCCAGCGGAAGTGGAATGTCTGTATAGGATTTAGTGCTGAGATTCGCAAGGTCGGCCTCTCAAACTCAGCAGCTACTCCTTGGAAACACTATACAGGAAACACTATGCTACGAAACTGATACGATGGCAGGCAAAAACAAAAGTGCTTTCAGGTGGTCTAAATAAAGTTTATGCAGGTGTGAGTTTGCAGTATTATGTGTCTGCTATGGACTCTGGGCCACCAACATTCACTCCCTGAACGTTCTTTAACTACTCTCATGACGACCTTAAGCATAAAAAGAATAAAAGGTGTCTGGAGCTACATCATCGTCATCACTGTTGGGCGGTGGGTTTTGTGGGGTTTTTTTTCATGTTTTAAATGAAAATAATGTATAAGCTTTTATATATGTATATATATGAGAAAATAAATATACATTAAAAAAAAGGATGAAAAAGCAGTATTTTTTTTCTTACCTTCATTCTTTTCCTTTTATTTTTAATCACTTTCCTTATCACCCAACTTAGCAGGTGTCTACACTTTTCGAGTCCTGGTGTGCTGCTGTAGGATACACACCGTTTCTCACTTGCTAACCACAATGTTGGCAGTTCAAATTCACCAGCCTCTTCTGCAAACCCTATACAAGGTCACTATGAGTCAGAATCAACTCGAGGGCACTAACACTATCCAATGAGTAATTCTCCCTTCTCTCCCACCTGATATCCAATACAGAAAGTTTATTATAGAATGAAAACCTGTTCTTGACTTTTTTATAGTAGTGGTCTCATATAATATCCTTCCCTGTGCAATCATCTAATTTCACTCTACATAAATGTCCTCCAGGTTCCTCTGTGTTATGTGGTGATCTGCAGATTCATCATTACTCTTCAGCATTGCGTAATATTCCATTGTATGGACCAAAGTTTGTTCAACCATTCCTCTGCCATGGACATCTAGGCTGTCTCTATCTTTTTGTTATTATGAATAATGCTGTAATGAGCGTGGGCATACCTGTATCTATTCATTTTATGGCTCTTATTCCTTAAGTATATATACCAAGTAGAGAAATTGCGGGGTCATACTGTATTTCCATTTCCAACCTTCTGAGAAAGTGCCATGCTGTTTTCTACAGTGCTTGCACCATTTTACAGTCCCACCAGCAGTGTAGAAGGGTTCTACTCTCCCCATGCCCTCTTCGCCATTTGGTTTTTGTGTTTTTGAACTTTGCTATTAATGCTGGGGTGAGATGGAGCTATGGTAGCATACTGGTTATGAATCGGGCTGCTAACCTCAAGGTCGGCAGTTCGAAAGTACCAGCAATTCCACAGGAGAAAGATGAGGTGGTCTGCTCCTGTAAAGATTTACAGCCTCAGAAACCCTTTGTAGGGTCACTATGAGTCGGAACCGACTCCATGGTACTTAACAATAACAAAAATAACAAGATGCTATCTCGTTGTTTTGATTTGCATCTCTCTAGTGTTTAGTGAAGGAGCTCTGGTAGCGTAGTGGTTACGAATCAGCCTCTTGCTGAGTCTTTGGGATTTTTAAAGTATGTTGTTGTTTAGTGCCATGGAATCAATTCCGACCCATAGTGACCCTGTATAGGGTTTCCAAGGAGGAACTGGTGACCTTGAACCACCGACCTTGCAGTTCAAACGACTTTGCAGTCTGACACATTAACCCACAGAGTCAACCAGGATCCTATAATCTGCAAATAGAGAGTTTTACTTCTTTGTCAATTTCAATGCCTTTAATTTCCCTTTCCTGCCTTATAGCTTTTGGCTAAGATTTCCAGGGCAAGATTCAAAGACATGGTGATAAAGGGAGTCTTGTATGGTTCGTGTTCATGAGGAGAATAGCTTCAGTTTCTCTCTGTTGAGAGTGATGTTGGTTATTGGTTTTGTATATGTGTTGAGAAATTCCCCTTCTATTCCTATTTTGTTGAGTGTTGTATCAGAAATGGGTATCGGATTTTATCAAATGCCTTTTCTGCATTCACTGATATGTTCATGTGCTCTTTTTCTTTGTTATTGTCAAGTGCCATCAAATTAGTTCTGCCTCATAGCAACCCTGTAAAGAGTTTCCAAGGATCAACTGGTAAGTTTGTCCACAGACCTTGATGTTCTAACCAGCCTTGAAGTCAGGTGCTTATCCTACAATGCTACACCAAAGGTCCTTGTATTTATGTGGTGGATTACACTGGTTGCTTTTCTAATATTGAACCACATCTGCCTACCTAGTATGAATCCCACTTGGTCATAATGTATTATTTTTTGGTATGTTGTTGGATTCCATTGGCTGGGATTCTGTTGAGAATTTTTTTATCTATGTTTATAAGAGATATTGGTCTACAATTTTATTTTTTAGTTATGTTCTTGCCTGGTTTTGGAACCAGGGATATGCTTGCTTCATAAAATGAATTTGGGAACAGTCCATCCTTTGCTATATTCTAGAGTAATTTGAGTAGAATTGATAGCAGCTCTTCTTCTAATGTTTGGTAGATTTCACTAGTAAAACCATCTAAGCCCCAGACCTTTCTTTTTTCTTTCAAGTTTTTTATTGTGAATTAAGTGATAGTTTGCATGGGAGAACATCAGCTTTACATTAATCCTATCGTATTTCATTTCATTGCAATGATTACAGTCCCCTCCATGCATCATCAAACAACCAAAGGCCATACTCCGCAAGCCTGCTGCCCCCTCACCCCCCACATCAGCACACAGCCCCTCTCCCTCCCTGAGTTCAGAATCCCCAGCTGCTCCATCTGTCCACATCATTGTCATTGCCTCCATCTCAGGCGTCACTGCTTCTCTGGATAGGGTCTCGCACTCTGCTCTTATCACAGGATGGTCCCAGGGTCCTCTGCTCCTGGTCTGTAAGACCAACCACTCCCCTCCTTTTGTTACAAAACGTCTACCTTTACATTTGCAACACTCATAGTCAGTCCTGATAGCAATTATTCATTATTGAACCGCAAGAGTCTTATCCCTATCTCCTTTCATCAGCCCTGTCCAGACAGGTTGGAAACCACTCAGTGGATATTCTCTACCTTCCCCTGCTCCCTCTGGAAAGCTTGTAAGCCAGTCACTTCTTGCCTTTGTAGGCCCCACCCACCCTCATTTTGGGTAGCCAATGCCAGACCTATTTTTGTTGGGAGTTTCTTTTTTTTTTTTTTTTTTAAAGGTTTTTATTGTGGATTGAGTGAAAGTTTACAGGGCATATCATCAGTTTTACATTCAACAAATCATACACCTTGTTTCACTACAATGATTATACTCCCCTCCATGTACCATCAGTTAACAGTATTTCTCTCTATCCACTTTAGCTTTTTTTAAAAAACATAAAATAATTTACATCTCCAAAGGGCACATTCTGCAAGTCTGCTCTTGGCCACCAGCTCTTAGTCCCTCTCTTCTTAGTCCATGTATCTAGAGTCCTCAGCTGCTCCCCCTCTCAATGCCCCCATCTCTGCCTCCATCTCTGGTGCCACTGCTTCTCTGGATAAGGTCCCGCATTCTGCTTGTGCGTTTCTTATTTGATGGTCTTAGGGTCCTCTTTTTCTGGACTGTAAGATTAATCACGCCTCTTTTTTTGTTACAAAAATCCTACCTTTATAATTGTGACAGTTGCAATTAGTCACGATAACAATTATCCACTATTGAATCTTAGGAACCTTATCCCCATCTCTTTTCACCAGTCCCCATCCAGTGGGGACATTTTCTTTCCCACCATACTCTTCAACTAAACACCCTCTAGAAACCCTGTAAGCCAGTCACTTTGTGCCT